AAAAAAAAAAAAAAAAAAAAGAGGCAAAGGGTGGCTGGGTGCTTTGGGTGTCCCTCTGATCTCCCTGCCTTTGGTGAGACCCAGACGAGTGGCTTGGGCAGAGGCCTCTTTCATGGGCCTTAAAAGGCAAGTGAGGAATCAGAAGGGGCCAGTGCAGCCTGGAGAAGGTGCCAACCCCATCCAGGGTCACAGACCCTCGATTCAAATCCTACTTCTGCCACCAGAAGCTGAGGGGCCCTAAGCCAGCCTCAGTCTCCTCCTTCCCAAACAGGAATCCTAAAAATATTCAATCATGTGCTCTGTGACCCTTAACAGGGAGGATATCGGGGCCAGTTTATTTATTTTCATTTTTTAAATATATCCCATCATTTATTGAAATTTTTTTTTATTACCCTTATTGAGGTTTTGTAGTCTTTTGGAATATAAAACTGGCACTTTGCCTTTTAGGCTTTTAGGTATGTATTTTTATGATTTTTCCTGTGGAGCCAATTTAAATGGGCAAGGCAGTGAAGCCCCAGCCCTCCAAGCCGGTGTTTAGAGCATAACTCCAGAGCCAGCTGCCCAGGGTTCGAATCCTGGCAGGACTCCTTCATGCCTATGTGACCTGGAACCCAAGTCACTTAACATTCCTGAGCATCAGGCCATAACAACAGTCTCTGGCTTAGAGGTGAGCTGATAACCCACATGTAGCACTTAGAAGAGTACTCGGCACATCGCAAGTGCTCAATAAATATTTGCTCACTACCCACTACTATTATTCTTCATTACTATCATCCACATTCCTTGTCAATCTCTCTAATCCTGTTTGCTCTTAATAACATTTTGGCTGCCCTTTAGACCCACCCTGGAAGCTTATTAAAAATACCAAATACCCCGTCACGCCCCCAGAGAGCTTGATTTTAATGGGTTGGAGTGGGACTTGGGTGTTGGTATTTTCAAAAAAATTCCCCAGGTGATCCTAACGTGAAGGCAGGGTGCCGCCCTGTTTCATCTGTTTGCTGTAAAGATTATATAACGTGAGACATGTTAAATGCTTAACAGAGACTAGGCTACCACAGTCAACCTCACTATCGTCAATCCCGTCTTAATCTTAAGAGGCACCACAGCACAATGGTAGAGCCTGGAGCTGGACGACCCAGGTCTGCCATGTCCAACTGGGTGAACTTGGTCAAGGAACTTGACCTTCCTGTGCCTCAGTTTCTTTATCTATAAAATGCTTTATAACTGTGAAGACCAGGGCCGGGGATTCAACCTGCAACCCAGGTACATGCCCTTGACAGGGAATCAAACTCAAGATCCTTCGGTGGGTGGGCCGATGCTCTAACCACTGAACCACACCGGCCAAGGCGAGGCAATATCTATTTTTACGTGAGCTATGTGTTCTCCTTGGTTTTTATCTCCTTGAGGTGATGTGTTATTTCATTACAATCTGCTACGATAGTTTTTCACCCACCCCCATGAGACAATATATTTCAAAGAGCCTAGTATATGCTTAATAAATGTTAGTCTGTGTTATTAAATCTCTCTGGGCCTCAGTTTCCTTGCAGGTAAGATGGGGATAGTAACAGGCTCTACCTGGGTAAGGTAAGAGGCAATGGGTCAACACACCGAAGGCATGTACACGGAGCCTGGCACATGGTCGTCCACACTCGCTGGTTCTCAGTAGTCGTTATTCCAGACCCATGTCCCTTTCTCAAAGCTGGATGCATTGCAGCTGAGGATTCACAATTTCTTATACTTTAGAAAAATAATAAGGTTGCCCGGCCGGGCGTGGCTCAGGGGTTGAGCTTCGACCTAGGATCCAGGCGATCAGGGTTTGATTCCCGGTCAGGGCACAAGCCTGGGTTGCAGGCTTGATCAATGACTCTCTCATCATTGATGTTTCTCTCTCTCCCTCTCCTTTCCTCTCTCTGAAATCAATAAAGATATGTTTAAATAATAATAACAAGGTGCCTCTACCGTGTAATATTGTGGAGCACCCCCCCACCATGGGGTCCGAGGCAGTCCTGGGAACCCAATAATTTATAACTTGACAACTAAGTGTGGGAACAATCACACGACGTGGGGAAAAGATTACAAGCAGCCTCGCGTTCATTCAAGCCGGGGCGCTGCCGCCCGCTCCCCGCCGCGAGCCACGCCCCGCGGGGGGGCACTCACGTAGATGAGGCCGGAGTAGTAGCGCTCGCGGAGGTTGTGCAGCACCGAGGCCTCGTTCAGGCAGGTCAGCTCGGCCATGTCCTCGGCCTTGCTGAACTTGGGCGGGTTCATGCGCTGGATCTGGTCCCGCGGCAGCCGCAGCCGCCGCCCGCTCTCCGCCAGCTCCACCTCCGCCTCCTCCTCGCCCTCGTCGCGCAGCGCCGCCGCCTCGAACCCGTGCAGCTCCGACGGCACCC